ACGTAATCTGTAATTAATACATATCAAATCTTTGTTATCTGTATAGGTTATATAAAACACAGGCAAATCGCATTAGAAAGGGTTGTATTCTATGTTTACTGACGACAACGGAAAATTCTTGATCTAATGGTGATTGGATTCTCAAGTCGATTGCAGAATCAATATCAATGAGAATCAATATCAAGTGCAAATTAGGGCTAATGACTTGCTCGACTCTCAATGGCCAAGAGATTATTCGCCAGAGTACCTTAATTAACTTTGGAAAAAACTGCATCAGCAAAACACAATTCTTTTCGAATTCTTCAACAGAAGTCAATGCAACAGCTTCATTGTCATGATAAGCACCGAGACGTTTACGTCTTTAGGCATTTTACAAGTCACCTTCAAGATAAACAGGAGCAGGATTCTTATTCAGAATATTTGCTCCAAGTTAAAAACGATAACAAATGCTTTGATGACGTCATATGCACTTCAACACATCTACTACGCTCTTTTTGGATTGTACATATCGAGCAGCCACGTGACTCGATCTGCCTGCTCATCCAGCCATTTTCATTACTATATTATAAAAATTTATTGGCTTGTTTAATTTGATTCCAGAATAATTGGAGTGAATACAGAAATTTAAAGCTGGGGGTAAAGGGGCCTAATAGGGGGCTAAGCCCTTTTGCTAATCCCGGAAATTGTCCGTTTGCACCTTTTCTTTTGGTTTCAGGACATTTTTCGTAGAGGCGCCAGTGTACTGTTCTTTTCATAGTACTTCACCCATGTGTGGCAGGTATAATGTAGGGGGGGGGGTAATTGGGGAATGTTGAAAAACATATAGGACATTTTAAAGAGTAGAGCACTTTAATATAGAGTAAGGCATCTAATAAAAAGAAATGAACACAATCTTTTGGTGGTACAAAATTTTAAAATGGCCTGAAAAAAATGAAAGCTTGTTTTTAAAATGTCTTCCTGAGAAATGAAAACCTTAGACTGGTTCGAGGGTTCATGCTACCATAGTAAATGATGCGACACGAATAACAAAGTCCTCCGGCTCAACGGAGGATTGCTGACAACAAGCATCCTTCACACGTGACGAGGTTTAATTGGCACTCTAATGAAACAATTCTATGACGACAGGTCAATTCCAGGCGGTAGCTTTGAATGAGAGAAATCAGGTCCTCGAGAATGGCTATTCTACCGAATTAAAAAGCAAATCGAATGATGAAATATTGGCTCTTACCTCACGTGGCAATCCGCCAACGAAAACTCTATTTGGATACCTGACACCATAAATGTATGTGGAATGATCCTAAATGAAAACATTAAGAATCTGACAAAAACAACCACAATTGGGATGGGACATCAAAATTCACTTTGTTTACAAAATTTTGATGAATAAATTTAGGTTCAGTGGACAATCACTTAGTCGACCAGCAGAAACATCACAATTTAACCATTTAAATCTGAAAAAGGCTTAGAAATCAACACTGTTAAATTTCATCTCCAATTTAGGTTTCTTTCATTGCCACTGCCTAAGTCATGTAAGAGACAAGCGGCAGACTGTAAACTGTGGTAAATCTCATCCAATTAGTTACCAAAAAGGAGCTCGAGTTAATTGTAAAATGATCTGCACGGCTGAATGAAAAAGGTAGAAGATACTTCATCCAATTGCAATATCCTTGGAAGTAAAACTGTCTGTTGTAAAGAAGATTTGTTGTGCTCGGTTGAGAACTAACTTAACCGTGCATGATCTTGTCAAACATTAACTTAGGTAATGTAAAAGCCGTTCCTTGAATCCGATTGTATTGGGTGTCTGTTAAAATTATGCAAGGGTCTTTCTGCATCTAGTCAAATCGCGTTACACGAGAACAATAAATTATACGCAAGGTGGGCGTCAATCGTCATCAAGGTACATTCCTACATGAAATGAAAAAGACAGCAAAAAACACTTGAAAAAACTTCTGCAGTATAGTTGCCTGTGTGAAGGCATTTAAAAATGGGCCAAGATCAACAAAACTTGGGCTAACACAACTCAACCCGGCAAAGTATGGCGAGAGTGTTTAATCTGCTGAAAGAGAACAAATAATAGCATAATTTATGAATACACAACGTTTATTCAAATAAGATTCACTCTGAGATGTTAATGATGGTGAAGATTTCAACCATGTTCGATAGCGTAGGAACCGTAATGTCGGAGGAAGGAAACAGCCTACACAGGTGGCAAATATATTTCTGGATACAGCACATACGTAACGCAACGTGACAAGCTTAATGCATGAATCAAACATTTTGATTAAGATCCCGCAAAGGCATCCCTCGTTTACATACTGTAACATAAATACACAAACCGTGAATAAATAACTCGGACTTACGAAACTAACGTAAATGTTTGTAAAGCGATTCAAAGTTAAGGCAGCATGAATGCTCACGTGGGCACTTTATAATGGCTCATCGCAGTAAAAGTTAATGAGAGACATAACAGTCCTTAAACTGATATCAAAAAACAGAGAAAAACTCTACTCACCATTTTGATCTGAATATCGACTATAATCTTC